AGGGCGGGGCGGGGCAAAGTGAAAGGGACCCAACGGGTTGACGGAAATCCGGGCAGGTCGGGGCGCACGCGGCGGCGGCTGAGCAGCCGTACGAATGCCAGCTTGCCCGCGCCCGCCTCTGCCTCCTAGCGTGAGACGGCTATTTTCAGTTTTACACTCGATACGAGTGACTCGGCCTGGCGCCCTGCTGCTGCCCCGTGCGTGTGCGGCAGGCCCGACCCGACACCCCGCTCACGGCGGGGCGGGCCCTTTGCATACGAAACAACAATAACGTCGGGCGTGAAAGCGAAGGGCGGTATAAGTATAGTGCTGGTGCGATCCGCGACGCCACGGAATGCGCCTGGTTTTTGGAGTGCCGAGTTTTCTATATTTAAAAGTGCATAATTGTACTGAAATGAAACAAAATTAACGTGTGACTAAGCGGCATTTTCGCACACGGGCCCCTTTTCTTCCAGCACCGTCCACCGCGCGCAGTCTGTATTTTAGCACGCCGACGGCCGCTGGCGGCAGGGGCGGCGCGGTGTTCCGCGTGTGTTCTTGTGAAACGCGCAAATTAATTTCGCATCGCATCCTCCCGCGCGGTTCGGCCCCGCCGTCCAGCGTCGACGCGGCGGAGTGTGGCTCACGTTTCAATTAGCCGGATGGACAGCGGCGGCGGCGGCAACATCACATGGCGGACAGCCAGACGCAGACGAGCGGCGGACAGCGGTCAGGCAGCAGGGGTCATGAAAGTGCACAGACGATCAGAAATGGAACAATTTTCTTGCCGAAATGATTATTCGCGTGGAGAGCGAGCGAGAGAAGGCGAGAAAGAGCAAGAGCGAGTGAGATTGATTGATTGATTGATTGATTGATTGATTGATTGATTGATTATTGATTGATTCATTGATTGATTGATTGATTAAGAGATAATTGATAATTACTTAATAACTATTTATTGTAACTTGTACAAGAAGACTAAAGAGACTTATGGCTGTACATTAGTAGCTGCCGAATGTTGTGGAGAGAGAGAGAACGAGCAAGAGAGAGCGAGAGAGAACGAGCAAGAGAGAGCAAGAGAGACCTAGCAAGAGAGAGTAAGAGAGAACGAGAAAGAGAGAGCGAGAGAGAACGAGCGGAAGGGTTCGGTCCAAGTTTTCAGCGCCGTGGAGGAACACGTCGAACATCGCTCGGGAGACAGGCGACGCGGGGCGCGACGGGGCGCGGCGGGGGCGGGGGCGGAACACCCCTCTCTCTCCGGGTCGGATCTGATCGGCCCGGGCCATGCGCTGCCTCGAATGGGCCGATCTACATCCGTCCCGCGAGCCGTTTTGTGGTGCCGTAAAAAGGGCGTAAGGGGCGGAACAAGGAACAGGGGGGAGAGAGAGAGAGAGGGCGGATGGGATGCGCACGGCCGCACGCACTGCAAGAAAATGCGAGTCTTTTGCGCTGCCCTAAAGTATTATTTTCTGGTAGAGGTACACGGTGGACAGAAAATGTTTAAATTTGTTCATCAGAGATAGTTTCACGCACACCGAATG